TCAAGACACGGATGATGAACTCAAACATTTTTCTGACAACAATTCATCTCTTCATTTGGAGAAGGTACTAGTGCCAGGATCTTCAATCTATATTTATTGCGACACGTCAACAGGACGCCCACGACCATTTTTGCCACAACGATTCCGGCGTCACGCATTTGATCAGTTACACAACCTTAGTCACCCCGGTGCACGCGCAACAGCTCACTTAGTTTCAGAACGATTTGTGTGGCCAGCAATGAAAAAGGATTGCCGTTCCTGGGCACGTGCCTGCGTCCACTGTCAGCGATCGAAAATAAGCCGACACGTCTCAGCCCCACTGGGAAACTTTGAAACACCTTCACGCCGATTCAAACATGTTCATGTCGATATCATCGGTCCATTGCCGCCATCACAGTCCTTCAGGTACTGTCTGACGGTAATCGATCGTTTCACCCGTTGGCCGGAGGTGTATCCACTCGAACGTATAACAGCAGACGATGTCACTAAGGGTTTCCTCAATTGCTGGATTTCACGCTTCGGAGTACCTCAATACGTTACGACTGACCGTGGTACTCAGTTTGTTTCAGCTACTTTAAAAACTTTAGCAAAACGTTTTGGTTTTACGCTTCGCCCCACTACCAGTTGGCATCCTGCTGCAAACGGATTCGTCGAACGAATGCACCGACAACTAAAGGCAGCCATCATGGCCCACGCAAAAGACTCGTGGACTGAGTCACTGCCTATCGTGCTTCTCGGAATACGTTCTGCGTTTAAGGAAGACTTAAAAGCCACGTCTGCGGAACTTGTTTATGGTGAGCCTCTTAATCTTCCTGGTGATTTCTTCACAGACAAGCAAGATAATAGCAGTACGAACGACCCTACTAGCTTACTAGATCGTCTTCGCAGTGTTATGAATAAAATTCGTCCAGTACCTGCATCTCGCCACTCAAATCCACGATCATTTGTTTTTGCGGACCTTAAGGACTGTTCACACGTATTTCTCAGGGAGGGAGGTGTCCGAGCAGCACTTCAACCGCCATATCAAGGTCCCTTCGAAGTAATTGCCCGAAATGACAAAACGTTCACAATAAAAGTTCGAAATCAATCAGTTACGGTGACGATTGATAGAGTAAAACCTGCCTACCTCATGGTGAACGAAAGCACAACCGTTAGCCAGGCACATGCTCCACCAGCAACTGCCCCGGATACGACCAAACAGAAACAACCGCCTAATACCGATCCATCAACACAGCCAGTACGAACAACTCGCTCAGGCCGCCGAGTCAGATTCCCGGACATTTTTGACCCTAGCTAACTCCACTCCGTAGGGGGGTGGTGTGGCGGTCGAATATTCTAGAATGTCCGGCCGCCGCCGCCTCTAGAAGATTCGTCGCTCTACATAAGCGTGTGGCGGTCGAATGTCTAGAGAGTTCCGACGCCGCCTCTAGAAGATTCCTCTGACTATTTAAGGGCAAGATCGTCGCTCCAGTCAGTCAGTCGATCAGTCAATCACTTACGCATTCTGTCTTACACGCGCTTCGTTTCTCGCTGTTATTTATTAGTTCGTTGTAATACAGTTCGTCTCTCGCTGTTATTTGTTATTTGTTAGTTCGTTGTAATATAGTATAGTTGTTATTAAATCGTAAAAGTGTTTATTACTTCTATATATTACACCTCGCTACAGCTCTTGAAGAAAAGGGTTTAAGAATAAGTAGAAGTAAGACAGAGTATATAGAGTACGAGTTTGACTAAGGAGAACACAAGGTAGGTGAAATGAGGAGGGCAGTGACAATAGGCGAGGACGTGATTGGAGAGGTGGTGAGTTTTAAGTATTTAGGGTCAGTTGTGCAAAAGAGTGGTGGGTATTGACAAGGATATAAGACACAGAATTAAGTGCGGGTGGATGAAGTAGAGAGAAGCGTCTGGCGTCATATGCGATAAAAAAAATTCCAATGAGGCTGAAAGATAAATTCTACAAGACTGTAATAAGGCCAGCTAAGATGTATAGTTCAGAGTGTTGGGCGGTTGATAAGAAAGTAGAGCAGAGAATGAGATTGCTTAGATGGATGAGTGGAGTAACTAGAAAAGGATAAGAATAAGGAACGAGCATATAAGATGGAGTATAGGTGTAGCGTCAATTGTAGATAAAATGAGAGAAAATAGACTTAGATGGTTTGGTTATGTTATGAGGATAGAAGAATCGGAAGCTCTAAGAACAGTTATAGAAATTAATGTTGGAAGAAAAAGAGGTAGAGGAAGACCAAAAAAGAGATGGAGGGATGCTATTGAATGCCATATGAGGACAGCTGATGTGAGCGTAGATGATGTGGGTGATACGTGTCAAGTGGAAGTTTAGGATAAGGGTGGCTGACCCCAAGTAGTTGGGATTAAAGCAAGAAAGAAGATATAAATCAAAAGTTATTAAAGATTCAAAACTATGTATATAATATTGATGGGAAGCATATGATGGTAACTATCGAATATTTAATAGTTGTCCATTATTTTTAATAATCAAATACTTAAAGTTTTCGATTATTAAAAATATTTGAAACTACTCGGTAGTTTTTTAAATATTTGATAGTTTATGCTAAAATAAATTTGGTTGCATAAAATATATTTTATTGAGTTACACATTATAAAGAAAAAATCTAAACCCAATCACAAAAAAAAAATTATATTACATAAATGACTCGTCAGAATATTGAGTTGATTGAATGCTCATAGCTGCTATGCTCAACAAGCACAAAAATAACAAGTTCATTCTATGATCTGAAATAATGTTCATGAATGAAATAATAATATTTTTTAAACTTACTCATTTGTTCTATAATTATGAAATAATGAAAATAACATCCATGGCTTTTTTAAATTTTATGTTTCTGCTTACCCCATTTTTTTTGAAAATACCAAAATATTATCATCAAAATGATAGTAAATGTGTTTAATATTATGTGATTTAACGGGCTGAACCAAAGTTCCATCAATGTGTTATACAATACTTTCTCTGTAAAGATCTAGAAATGGATATTAGTTTATTTTTTATTATATACAATATAAGACTAATCTAAATAATAATTTTTTAATTAATATACTAAAAAAATATTAACTTAGATTTCGTTCAAATTATTCCGAAGTTCGAGCTACAAAATCTTGCAATAAATTTTAAACTCAATTAATTAAAAATATATAATGATAAAATTCTACATGCATTAATATTAGTATGCTAAAACCTCATATAATTTTTATTAAAAAAAAAAATGTAAAATTATTTTAAGCTTAAAATAAGTTCAAATACATTTTTGTACGAGTATATTTTTAGCAAAAAAAATTATTTTGAATGTAGAATTAAATGATAAAATATAATCCTATAAAATTTAATGTAAATTATATACATCATAATATATAAATCTACAACTAATGACCAAAATTGCCAAACCTAATTAATAATAATAAACAGTATTTTTTAATTAACTTACCATTATACTAAAAGCTAATGTCGAAATAATAACCAAATAAGGTCCATTATTATGCTTTAAATCTTGTTGAATTGAATCGTCTGAAGTATAATCAGGAACATCAGGAAGTGACAACAATAAATACTTCGCCTATAATTATTATTCAAAATTATACAAATGTCAATAATTTATTTCATTTATTTTCTTTCTTCCATTCTAATTTTAATGCATTACAACGGTCATCCAGATATAGAAATTAAGATGAAAAAAACTCTATTTTACTCAGAACTGAAAAGGTTTAATGATTGTGAAAGAACATTTTTTAACTTTTTCTTCAAATACTTACTTTAATAGTATTATAAATTTTACTCTCAAATTCTGTTCTCAGTTTTAATGAATCCATTGTAAATATACCAATGAAAGATTTTTTTCATCACATTATAAAAATAAGAAACAATTATATATAAGTGTTTTATTTTGTAAGAATAAAGAAATTGAAAAAAGTGTTATTTGTTGTTGATTAATTACATTAAAACTAAAAAATACTAAGGTAATTAGTTAGCTATTGTTGATTCAGGTGGTTAAAAGTATCAGCTGATATCGTATGATTTTTGATTCATGTTAAATTGTTTGCTATTATTATTTACCTTAAACTATATTCAAATATTAAATACCTTTATTAAAAAAAATTATCTTTTATTTATTTATTTATATTGTTATTATTTTTATTACCCAAAATTATATTATATTTTGAAATTATTATTTTTATACTTTAATTTATGCATAGGATTTTTTATGGGTCGTGTTGGGGAAAAAAATTGGGGGCCATAGGTGGAATTTGAATAAAATGTTTGAGTGGTCTAACTTAATTTCTCCTCTCCCTATAAATGAATGTAATTTTTTATTATTCTTATAATTACGACGCAGTTTTAGCGAGCTAAATATGATTTTGTATAAAGATTTGAAAAATGTTTATTTAAAATTAATAAGAGGTAGAACACTATATATAGTGTTCATTTTAATGGGAACATGTATGTTCCTTATAAAAACAGTTATATGTAGTGTAATATATTTTATCAATCTTAGTAAACATTTTTCTACGTTCTATACTTTAATTTTTTTTGTAGAATAAAACTAAAAAATTGGTACAGTTAATTAAAATAAGGCGCAATTCGATTCCATTCAATTAATATCTTTATTTTAAGCTTTGAAAAACAAATAAAGACTATGTATCCTAACATAATTCCAGTTCTTAATTAAATTATTAATGTATTATTAATTATTACTACTGATAAAACACAAAAATTGTCCTACAAAATTATTTTCCTGTACACGTAATGTCTTTTATTTTTATATAATTCTTATCTTTAAAATATGTAATATTTATTCGTAAATTTGGCTGCATAGACTAACGCCGTTATTTATGGAATAAAAACTTATTTATTTTCGTTATTATCTTTACGGTTGCCTACACTGGAGAATGTGGTAAGACTTCTACACGACGGCGAACCCGTCGAGTGTAGTGTGTGTGTGTGTGTATGTGTTGTGTGCACTGAACACACAGTTGTTTATTTTTGTTCCGTTCCTCGGTGGAGACCACAGCAAGTCTTGCCGCCGCCGTGATTTAAGTTAGTTGGGTTCGGGTTTAATGCGGTGCGGTTTACCGTTGGTAGTGCAGTTCGTCTGTCCGCGATAAAAATTATCTGTGTGTATATTCATACTTTTGTAATCGTCGTTTGTTTGATATTTTCCTAATTGTTATTTATGTGTTGTTGACTCTGTTTCAAAAATCATTTCAATTTGGTAGATGACCACATAGACTAATTTAGCCGTTAAACATCGTAGAAGCAAACGTTTGACAATAGTACTCGACTGCCATGGCTCCATAAATTCTAAAACGGATCTAAAAGCCTTGTAATCTTTGTGTTCCTCATGGGTTACACAGGCATAAGTGGTGGAGGAGGCAGTGGTGGCGGGGGCACAACAGGCCAAGGCAGACCTGAGTATGATGCTCTGGTAGGCCGACAAGAAGCTGAGATTCGTATGCTGGAAGTGATGCGCCGGTGCGTTACCAGCAAATTAAAATGCGACCGCGAATACGCTGCCTCCTTGAGCGCCGTTTGCGCGCAGGGTCTGAAGTGCGAAAATGCGGCCGGTAGTTTAGTGGCTAGTGCTTGGAAACGGTTACTTGAAGAGCTGGACTGCGCTAGTCGAGCCATTCGCGGGGTCTGTGACCGTATTGAAAAAAATACTCTCGATAAAATCACAAGTATATGCGCTGAGAAACGGAAAGCCAAGAAAACTTATCAAGACGAATATAATAGGATATCTCTGCAATACAGTAATGTGAGTTTATTATATTTTCATTAATCTACTGTTGAACCATTATTGTTATTGCTGTTTAATTTATTAAAGTAAGATTATTGAAAATTTAAGTATAACTTCAGTTTAAGTTATTAGTTCGAACGGCGCACCGAGCAAATATCTATAATTTGGTTTTCTTAATGTTATTCGAAATGAATTGAATAAATGATAAAATGAATTTGGTGAATAGATAAACAAGAGATGAAATTATCTTATACATGCTATTGCTGTTGAAATATTTCCAAGGTTTTAGTACGAATTTCAATAAGGCGTTTGTAGATAAGCATTGGCTCTCTGATTTGCTCATCAAAAGTACTGTTATGTATTTTATATATATAAAAAAAAATGTGCGACACGTTTACTACTAGTAGTTATTTACATGATTTAATTTTCTTATTGTGTGGTATCTTGAACGTTACAATGTAATTGTAGTGTCTCTGTAGCAGGTATTGGATAGTATTTTCCAGAGGTTTTATTCTAAAATAAAATCGTCAGACCCCTAGCTGAGAACTGTTCGATGCCGGTTGGTGGCCATAAACTCTTGTTAGTTTATTTTCTGTATAGGTAACAGAAAGAGCGTTTTTGACTATTCCAATTGGGATTTTTTCCCATGGATTTTTTCAAGCTTGCTGTCGGCGCGTATGTGTGAGATAAGAGTGTCGGTCTGTATTGTGCCCAAGGCATTGGCGGTGGGTCTACCGCAGCCCTATAACCGACGCGTGATACCTATTTAAACCTCTTAAGTCGGTCACTAGAGCCTGTCGGCTTACTGATTAGAAATCGTACATCAGTTTATAGATCGTAACTTATTACGCCGTTAACAAGACATTTATCTATTATTATATAATTGGTAAAATAATTTGAGTTACTGGCGGCCCTGGTGATGATATATATCCCTCATACACTCTGGACCGTCATCGCGGAGGGGGCGGTCGAATCAGTAGAGGTCTTGGCCCTAAGGCGAGAGCGGATCAGACTAGACAACACTCGCTTGATAAACGGATGTACGAATCCGGGGTCATTAGACTGCGAATACACACGACGAGTGAGAATTATCCCATGTATAGACTAATCGGCACAAGATGATTAATGTAAGACTAGCTTTTGCAAATCGCAAAGATAAATGAGATTAAAACAGAAGCAACCCCCCACCGTTGTATCATTTGGTGAAATTTGGCTACGTATTTATTGTGCTTATGATCGAGATTGATGTGTACGACACTAATACAAATATTAATGATATTTTGAAATTACATTACTTACTTAATATCGGTTGTATTTTACAATGTTGATTATTTAGCATTAAAAACTATACGTGCAAAATAATTTATAATATATTACCATAGCTATTTTAAATATTTGCTTCTGGATGATAATCACTAAAAAAATATATATTTTATATATTGCTATTCAAATCATCGGTTAAATATTGTAACTTTGACCTTTGGGCTACGAAATTTCTTTTTCGTTGAATAATTTTCTTAACTTGAAACCTCTGACCCACTTTTTTAATTTTTAATAATTAAAAAAGTGGCTTTTCCAGGAGTGTAATTCCAAATCAATCTATTAACATTTCCAAACTAAAAGTCATTTTTACGGAACTGTTGAAAATCATCCTGAAGTTCTATTTTCGTATATGCTGGATAAAAAAAAATGGTTTGTGGCTTCAATTAGGCTTTTAGGCGTAACTATGAGGGATTAGCATTTTGTTCTAGAATTCATCCCCTGTATTTAAAAAATTATACATTTTTGGATAAGTGAAAAATAAGTGTAGCCCTTTTAAAACCTTGTTCTGTTGGCGTCTATGATTTTTGGAAACCCGTGAAAAAATTGCAGAAGACCATTTAAATTTTTTTTATTGATATATTATTTATACCGGTCACGTGAATTTTAATAGTAAATGCTTAAATCGATTTAGAAGGGAGGGCTATGATAATTTTTCCGAATACTCATTTTGTTAAATTTGCTTCCTGTGTTGATTTTGTGTCACCAAGTCAAATAACTTACACTATGGTATCTTAATAAGAATACACGAACCTTTCTTTGTGGTTTTATCTCAGTTGCATAAGTTCTTTAGCCAATTTAAGTCGGTTATGAACTGGTTTGACGCGATCGCAACGGTACAGTCTATAGTTACAATTGACGGACTTTCCTCGTTCTATAATAGTTAAAACTATTACAAAATTGGCTGCTGTTAAAAACAACAAAAATTACATTTTAAACATATTGTAAACTTTTTTGGGGAAACTGCAAAGATTTCTCACCAGACATCCGTATCCTGTCCCCACCGAATGTCATTGCATAATTTTACATATGCAAGTTATATTACAACTTGACCGGTTTTCCATTTCGCCCGAGTCGACCTTGATCGCATACATAATCATAAACCGCGGATAAGTTCAACATACTGTAACACGATTCCGCAATCGTTTAGATTCAATTTTTTTAATAATTTTTTTTTTTTACAAATGGGTTAATGTACTTTAATGTCGGCGCACGCTTACTAAAGCGATCCATAAATGTTATTAGTTAACACGTTTCAAGTCGCGGTCGATGAATTCGAAAGTAAAATTATCATTATTGTTTGACTTACACTTTTTCGTTTCTTTTTTTGGAGCAAAGCCCACTAGTGTAATATAATTTCACACTGCATCATATTAAAACGTCCAACAATATGGTCGTCGAATAATAGATTTTTTACCATAATAAATTTATGAGCATTTCGTAAATACGATCTCATATGCCCTGCCGATAACGTTACATTTTGTCTGCTTCTCGACTACCGCCTCGGACGACTTCTGTTGCAGTCGGCCGTTGACCTCCGTCGCCGCTGTCGTCGGTATTGCTAGTGAACTTGATTGGCCGACGACGGTGACGGTGGCGACCATAAAGTAGAAGAGCAGCAGCCGCCAAGAAGACTGCTGCTACCGCCGTCGTTGCATCAGGTGGGGCACTGCGTGTACAATAACTATACATTATATTATTCGTTTTGTCATCGCGCGTTCAAGCCGTGCGACTAAATAATATGCATAATAATAAATCATACAAGACACTTGTAGGCAGCACACGTGCACCAAAATCAAAAGATAAACTTATCCACACAATTTTTTTGTCGAAAACACATGACCGATAGCATTTTTCCGTTGCACTTCACCTGTCCACGCGTTTGCACTTGATCTACTTTTAAACGGTCTGTCTGTCCGCATTTTGGTAAACACTGTTCAATTCGGTGTTTAACCAACATGCTCCTGATCTTCATCCACAATTAACATGAAAACGACGTTTTATAACTAACAATAATTTATGTGCAGTTTACATTCGTGTATGTTGTGTTAACTGGTAGACTGAACAAGTAGTTGTATGCATTTAATTCGAATCGGTTAATTTATGTTTTTTATTCGTCTTGAAATTAATATACACACGTAATATATTTTATTTATATTGGAGGTTTTTGACCCTCTGGTTGACCTTCGGAATTACATATTGTTTATGAAAAACCCGTAGACGACTCGTGAGTTGTAAGCCACTAGCACAGATATTACATTTATAATTTCGATGACCCTGTACAATCTTTCCATTAACTGGACACATTTTAGTTTTCAGTCGCATTTTCTTAGAACTAAAATTTTGTTCTTATTAAATTTAGCTACCTACCTTAACCTTAAGTCAACAGGTAAACGTTTTGGGTATTACCAATACTCTTAGACGTATACGTCACAACCAGAGAATAATTGCGGGCGAGGGTAGGTATAAACTATTTTTTGAATACTTTTGCTCACCAAAAATGCTTTAATCTACATTGATATTTTGGAAAATTCGAATAAGTAACAAAAAAGGTTATCACGGCTAAAAAATTCCTTCCTAAGATAATTAACCCGTTTTACATTTTTTTGGACTTGGTACTTAGAACATTTTTCTGGCATTAACTGTTTTTTTTATTTTTGGTTTATGCACAAAATTAATTTCAAGCTCTCAATTGTATTAATGTGACATTTTAAATTAGATAGAGTAATTAAATAACCTTCGATTTTTACGGGTGAAAATCATAGTTGTTCTCGACGTACTCAAACTGTATTGATTTATATTCAGAACACTCACATATATCAATCGTTTATGGTTTGTAAATATCAATTGTTGTACAGCTTAGGTAGTATAAAAATCATAGTGGGAATGCATTGAGAATAGTAATCGGATATGATGTTAAACTGTCGAAAGTATTGCAGGTATAACATTGACGTCCCAAGACAAAACGATGTTAAAATATTTTAGGTACTCATTTAGAGCTCCTTTAAGGATTTTCTTATGCCACTTGAATGGTTACCTAGAGGTTGTTTAGAAATTGTTAATGGAATTTTTGACAAACAAATAGAACACACAAACCATTTTTTTAACATTACTAATTGATATGTCGTTAATTTTATTTAAGTGTGTGATTGAGAAATATTCTATCTATGCCAATCAATTAAGTAAGTCGTATTTTAACTCAACGATTGTGTGAAAACTGGTTATTCGTACGAACATTGAAACAAACATAAGAAATGAATACAAATTAATAATATTAGTATGAATTTCATGTAGAAAAAAAATAACAGCGTGATGATATATTTGTTTTATCGACTACTTTTACGAATTACTACTCAGAATACACTCACCGTGTAATTAATTTTACTTGTCTCGGGGCTTGTTTTTGCAAGTATGCGTCACGACCCTGTTGCCAAAAATGGATGAACTATTATTACATTTGAAGCAAACTGATATATGTTTAGATATATATCTGGGCCTATGCCTTAGTATTGTTCATTTTTTCTTAAGTCCAACAGAAACGTGTTTTTGTCGAAGAAACCTTTTGCATGAAGATGACTAACACTACGCAGGATCATCTTTAGTTGCCTGCAGTGTTATTTCTGTTTCATTATAGTCAATAATAGTATTGATTTATTGCAAATAATTAAACAATAGTAACCTTAAGTTTATGCAGTGAT